ATATGAATACGTTCCTGGAAAAATATTTTTCTATGTATATATTGTATTATTTTATTTATATCGATTGCAATAACAGACTTCATCATGAGCAGCCAGAAAGGGGAACAGGATGAGGCCACTGGTGCTGTTTATACAAATGCTCACTGCATCTGTCTGTGCTGATCTGTGTGGCCAACTGCATATAGACACATGTACATGCTGTATATGTGTGTTTGTATGTGCAAGCCTGGGAATACACTCTCAGCCTCACTAGTGGGGGCACAAAGCTGTGGCAGCCCTAATACTGTATTCGGCTCCCCCTCACATTTAATTTCTCTTGGCCCAGCCTTACTGTTTCTCTTCATACTAAAGAATCCTTAAATCTGCAAGTAATCCCACTAAGTAAGTTGGTAAAAACATTCTAATAAAATCACACAGGACATATTTTTGTGCAAGGCGATCTACTTAAAAACTAGGTACCCCAAACATCAGAATTTTCCACAAACATTTTTCTAGCTTTTGTTATCGCAACCTTCCTTCTACCAGTCTGAGGGGAAAGAAGGTAGTGGCAGATTTAAATTTGCCTCAGAAATAAAATATCTCCCTAGACTGAAGTCATACTAATAGTTTTAGGAAGTAATCCTCTACTTCTAGTATTCCTCATACAGGTCCTTATTTTATTTTACTTTATTTTATTTAACAGTACTGTATAAGCCTGGTGTTAGACAGTAAGAGATGCATCAAGGCAAGCTCTCAGTCAGAGCATGCTCCTCCAGGGCTGGGGCAGAGGATGTCTGTGCCGCTCTGCCCACTAGTCCAGATCTGTAGGCGGACCCAGGTTCCTCCCATAACAGATTTGGGTGATAACATACAGTGAATTTCACTTACGAACTCTCTAGAGTTCATAAGCTGCAGTGTTTGCACAGGCAACGTGGCACGTTCTTCACGACCACACCAGCCGTCCCAACCAGAATTTAGTCATCCAGTGCTTGCCTTCAGCCTCCCGACATGTGAGAAATGAGATGAGGCATCCTGAGAAGCCTGACATACTACAGCTGCCAAGGCAGGCTGCGGTCTCTCACATTAGTGGCAGATGACAGCTCACTTATTTGAACACAGACAAAGAGAAGTCTGCCACAGAGCAGTTCCTGCAGGACTGGAGGCAGGAAACAGCTGACAACTATTTCTTGGATTATAGGGATAAACATATTTCCAGCGACAGCTTTAGGCTATGTAACTCTAAAATCCTGAATACAATTCAAGGTATTCTTGTACCAGGAGACAGGTCAAACTAGAAGGGTCTTATAGTTGAAAGCTTAAATCTTCTCTGAAACATGAAATACATCTTCCGGCATTATTACAGAACTCAGCAAGAGCCAAAACAAACAATAGCATCACTTTTTTAGAGATAATACAGAGTATTCTGGAGGTTTATTGAGTTTTGCTTTATCTGGGAAAGAAACCGGAAGACACTGCCTGCCTTTGTTAAGCCCCTGAATGGATGCTTTAATACAAATTTCAGCCTCATTGAGCAGGGTACAAATTAACTATCCAAAGGGAACTATATGAGAAAAAGAGGAAGAATGAACCAGCTCCACAGAGATGAAGACTAAGCCCAGATGAGAAAATAACTTTCTTTGAAGAACTAGTTTTCTGATTCTGGTACTCTGAATGATCCTGTAGAAGTGTTTTACAGAACAAAAGAGGATGCAGCTTATTTTTCTCAGCAAGACATTCAATCCTCTGGATAAAAAAATAGCAACAAAATTGCTCAAATCTGGCAAGTTATGTATGGCAGCAGTGCATTGAAGACAACAAATGGGATCCAGAAAAAGACAGGCATTCGTGTTTTGTTTTCAGCTCTCTAAATGGGGATACTGTGACTTTAACTTTGGGGGAAGGAGCACAGGCCATTAACACAAACAAGAAGGAAGAAGTAAGATCAGTCAGTGAGTCATAGCCACTATGCAAACTTTGCTGTACATCTGTGTTTTCCCATGCTGTTCTGAACCCTTGCCTCAGACTCTTGCAATGGACAGAATGCCAAATATGAGTAGAGCAAATTGTATTTTTCCATCCCGGGTTTCTTTTTCAGCATGAAAAAGTACCCATCAGGGACTAGAGCTGGCACTTGCAGAGGAACTGAGCAGTGTCCCTGGGCCTAAAACTCACTTACTAAAATTTCCAGGTCCTTCAAACAGGGTCTCCAGCCTGCAGAAACGAGCTTCTGTCTCCCGGAGACTGTGCTGGAAATTCCAGGGGTAGGTGGGAAAAAAGCAAGCAAGTGGTCACTTTTAATACATCCCACCTGCTGTCTCAGCAGGCTAAGGCATGAGCCCTGCCTGCTGGAGGAGGCACGAGGGAAGAGCCTTCTGAACATCGCTCCAACTGAGGGCTCTGTGCTGGTTTTGGCTGGGATAGAGTTAATTTTCTTCACAGTAGCTAGTATGGGGCTAGGTTTTGGGTTTGTGCTGGAAACAGCGTTGGTAAACAGGGATGTTTTAGCTACTGCTACAGCTGACCTCAGCTGACCACAGGGATATCCCACGCCATATGATGTCATGCTCAACATATAAAGCTGGGGGAAGAAGAAGGAAGGGGGGGACGTTCAGAGTGATGGCATTTGTCTTCCCAAGTCACCATAACACATGATGGAGCCCTGCTCTCCTGGAGATGGCTGAACACCTGCCTGCCGATGGGAAGGAGTGAATGAATTCCTTGTTTTGCTTTTCTTGCACATGCGGCTTTTGCTTTACTTATTAAACTGTTTTTATCTCAACCCACGAGTTTTCTCACTTATACTCTTCTGATTCTCTCCCCCATCCCACTGGGGGGAAGTGAGCGAGTGGCTGTGTAAGGCTTAGTTGCTGGCTGGGATTAAACCATGATAGGCTCACCGCAGGCTGTCAGACTAGCCAAAATTCAGCTCCTCAGGCATCCAAACTGAAGGCTGCCAGTTATGTATTACATCTATGATTAGAAAATATATGGAGTACTTTTGTCTTCAGAAGTGAAGGCATGTAAAAGGGCTCAAAGCCTGTTTGCTGACAGAGCAGAAGAGACTAGATGTCTAACACATCAGCCTCTGTCACTTTGGTGTCTGCCCCGCCGTTTTTGCCCCGACAAAGAGGAACTGCTGTGTAGCATGCAATGGCCATTTTTCCACCCTCCTCACCACAGCTGGCCTGTGGTCAGCCCTCTCTTTGGCTGGGACAAACTAAGGATAAAGGTGAAGTACAGGGCATTGATGGTTTCCTTCTCTCCTCCTATGGAGTAGCACTCAAGACAGCTCCACAGCTGGGACATATGGAGCAGCCTAGCTGCCAAGTCCTACCTCCAAAGGGACAGAGCACACTACCACAGTCCCTCACCCTCTCCATGCCTACCCGTGCTCCTTGCTCTCAGTACATATAGGTGACTGTCCCCAAAGAGGCTGTGCTGGGATGTGGTGAACGCATTTTCGAAGCGGAGGAAATGCCAGTACTCTTGCAATCAGATGCTCTGAGCCCAAAGTACATGAGACAAGCCATTTATCCAGTGTCTGTGAGACAAGAGAAGAAAGCTTACCTGGTTGGTCATAGGATGCCCATGCTAGGTTTTCTCCACATTTTCCATTAGCAGACTCGGAGCTGTGTTTGAGGACCCTCGTGGTAGCCAGTTCTTCTGCATACCTAGCAAAGGCATCCATACATTGAGTCACAGACCGGAGCCACAGTGAGCAGAGAGGAGGAGGAGCAGGAGGAAGAGGAGGAGATGCAAGCAAGGAGTTTTGCTGGAAGATGACTGTTTAAGTCAAGTTACTCAGATGCAAAGCCCAGGGATGCTTTAAGCTTACATAGATCTAGGAGTTAGGCAAAGGGAAGGCCTATAGGCCATTTCCCCTGTCTTTCATAAGCATCTGTGTCACTGCTGAGAAGGGTCTAGAAGAAATGAAAGGGCAGATCTCCCCCCCACCATGTTCTGCCCAGCACCTGGAAATCCACCGGGCATCCTTAGCTGCAGCTACTGGGGGAAAGCAAAGTACCTGCAGCAATTGTTACAGGTGTCACCTCCTGACATTTTTAGACCCCTCATGGAAGTAACTTAAATGTTCTCGATGAGATGGAAAAAAACACTGAAGTGGGGATTCAGTCAAAGCAAGTGTAAAAAACCCTACATTTACAAATAATAATAATAATAAAAAAAAAAGCCAAATGCAAATCAAGAGCGATGTGCCAGGCAACAAACAGTAGAGAGAAGGGGACCACATGGAGAATCTGAGGCAACAACTGTGTATACCAACATAGGGACAAGCAGCACTGTTTCTATAAAACTTGACATGTGTGAGAGCGTGGGATGTATTTTATTGTCTTACAACAATAGGGTTAAGAAGAACATCATGTGTAAAACAATTATTTTCTTTATTCAATATTGGAGAGGCTTCAGTACAGAGACAGTGAAATTGGAAAGACTATTTGTTATTTCTCATGGTACAAGAACTAGGAGGCAACACACAAAATCATCAGGTCACAGATTTAAAAGTCAAGTAAGACAAAGCACTTTTTCCACACTGTGCAGCAGAAGTCATCGCCACAGGACAATGCAGACACCAAAGCGCATGTGGGTTTGAAAAAGATCTAGACAAATTTACAGTGTGTGTGGCGAAACTTCAGGAGTTATTAAACAACAGCAATAAAAAAATGAGGATTCAACCTATTGCTTAGGAAAAACATAATTTCCAGAAGAAAGATGTAATTGCCAGGAGAAGATAATGGGAGAAGGATCACCACATTTGTTTTGTCCTGCTATTCCTTCCCTAATCATGAATTACTGGCATCTGCCAGACAGGAAATTTGTCCAGCTGAACATTTTGGCCCAAGCTAGTACTTCAGTCATTAGGTTCTCATTTCCTTCTGTCCTACTCCTTTCAAAAGAAAAAAAAAAAAAAAGGGCATTTAATTACCTCCATTAATTTAGAAATCCTGAAAACTTGTCAGTTGTCAGACTGCTAGCTCCTGAACTAGAGGATCTGTAGATGGTCCTTCATGCGCAATATCACTACAGTCCTGAAATTTTTCTCTTCAAGGATTCCCACATCCCAAGCAAGAGACAAGACTGGAAGAAAGTACACATTGCACACAGACAAAGTTGCCAAGGATTTGAGACAAAGGGTGATTAATTTGCTCTAGCTCAGGCAGTTGAAAGCATGAGATTTGCATCTGAGATCATCACCCTATGCTTCATTACAGTCAGAGATAAACAGACACCTGCTGAGGGTGACTCATCTCATGCTAAAGCAAGGATCCAATAGTCAGTTCATCTAACCTGTCACAATTATTGGAACTGAAAATAGTAGGAAAAAGACCATTTTCAACACAGATAGAGAAGCATGGAAAAGTACCCAGAGATACACCAGATATATACCAACAAAGATATTGGATATACCTAAAGAAAAGGTGAAGTTCTTCTCTGAATTTCAGATTATGCAAAATCTGTCTTGACAAATAAGAGATTTCTTGTATTTCATGTTTTCTATTCAGACCAAACCATTTCTGGTTCTTGCTATCAACCAGTTTCACCAATCTCTGAACATGTGTCTTTTAATTCTTACAAGTTAAGTGACAGACCGCAACCAAAGGTTTCCTATTGTTCTTCATCACAGCAGGGAAAGTCAGCTGAGACCAGAGAGGACTGTGAGGAATTCCAGAAGGACCTAAAAATACTCAGCAAAGGCAATAGCACACTTAAAGATAAATGTGGAGCAATGCATATTTGACAGAATAATCTGAACTATTCATACAAGTTGGCTTGTTCAAACCAACTGTAGCACTTTGGAGACCCAGCAAGTGTTATTGAGAAGTCAATAAAATTTCTCCCTCATTGTGAGGCATCATGTAAAACAGAAAAAAACCCAACCCTTTGAAGAACAGAATGAAAACCCCAGCAGATTACAAAGGTATGTGGATAAGTCACTGGCATTCCATCTCTTAGAAATACTGTATCCAGTTATCATGGTGTCTCAAGAGAAAAAAAATGTGAAAAAATAAAGACAGAATCAGATTTTGCTTGCTGCCAGAGGGCGTGTCCACATGCCACGTACATGGTGCATTGTACAGCACAATGCCTGGTGGAGATCCCTGGTCTAGGAGTGCATCTGTGTGACAGCGCAGCACCATGCCGGGACAGTAAATCAGGTTCTAGAGAGGCTACCCAGCCTCTCTGGCTCCCAGCCAGCCAGCACAGAGAAGTCTGCATGGTTATGGTAGAAAGCCTAAGAGGAGATGAGGTCTTATGTCTGCAGGGATCAAACTGGCCACTATTTAGCTATTATGGAAAGACATTTATTTTCTGAATAGTATAATCAGCATTTACTCCTTCAGGTATCTCCTTTGTACTGTGAAGACCAGCCTGAAAAAATTGAAGATTTTCAAATGCACTTTGAAAAAGGTTGCTGTTAAGGGAAAGGAAATAATCTGGTTGTCGTGTCTACAGCAAAGAGGACAAGCAGTATTGGACTCAAATTTCTGTAAGGAAGACTTAAGTCAGACAGCAGAAAGATGGATCCACTGTACGTTAGACCAACAAGTTGTCTGGTCTTCAGCACTGGAGAAAAAGTAAGATGTGTCCCTCCTGACAGACTAGAGAATAACATATACTGATTTTGCTTTTGGGGCAGGGAAACAGACAGTTTGATCTGAAATTACTTCCTTCTGATTCCATTGACCTTAGACCAGGCATCACTTCCTACCATGAAAAAGTTCATTTCTCACTATTTCAACAGCCGTGGATATTCTCCTGCAGATGACAATCCATCATCTGACAGAAGTGGTGGTCAAGCATGTTTTAGGCAACCACCCTCTATAGAGGAGACATACCAGTGTAGACAGATGCAGCCCATGTCTGGAAAAGGGTGCAAGAAAGATTTATACAATTATGACCACAGAAGTGTCCATGTGGCCAGCTGGTGCTATGTGATGGAGAAAGAAGGGATGAAGAGGGTGGGGCAGGGAGACAGAAGGAGTCGAGTCCCTCACTTTCCACCCAGTAAGTCTTCATTGAATATCAGCGCGTCAAAAGGCAAATATTTTTGCAGTATGTACAGTCAAACCTCACGGATAAAAGTGCCACAAATCTCATTAGATAAAAGAAAGGACTGAACTCACTGTTGGGCTCCTCTGTTTAACTTCTTGCAGAGTTTTAATGGGGGGACTCCGTGTTTCTTCCTGTAGTCATTGTGTGCTTTCAAGACTTCTTCAGCAAATTGTTTGGAAGCTGAAATCACATCAAAAAAATTGGAAAGGTCTGTCAAATACAGACATTAGTGAAGACAAAAAACATACCCTGTAGCTAAGACGCTGGTGCAGGCGGGACTGAAGAACAGAAGAATACCACCCTCATTACCTGGGAGTAGGATGAAATGAACCGTTAATGCTTTCCATCTAGGAACTAACTCTAAGAAACACTCCCATTGGGATGGCACAGACTCACTAAAGGTTGAAGAAAAATGTGAACCTTCTTCCTTTCCTCAACAGCAAGGTGATTTAAGGTTAGTTTGACTGACTTTCATTTTCAGATTTCAGTGCACTGCATCACCATTGCAAAGAAGTCTCAGAGTAAGTGGCATTGAGGAGATGCACTAAAAATGCAAATTATTTGCACTGCATGCAAGAATTTTCTGTATTAGTCAGGACACCACCTAAAGAAAACAGAGATGGGTAGAACTATGCAAATACTTTGAAACACACACCATTCTTTTTATTCATTATATAGTACAAATTCATAGAAATCTCAAAATGCACCGTCATTTGGCTCAAGACAAAGAATTGTTCACAAACAGCAAGTGGTAAGGAAAGAAAGGACTGCTGGGGATGATTTTTTTCCCCTGAGCTAGAGCACATTTGGTAAATGTCTGAATTCCGAAGTTACTGCAAAGCTTTAAAAAAGCTCCTGTTTGTGCCCTGATAAACTTGGGACTTTCAGCAGCACAAGGCAGAGGACAAGCAACAAGTCACAGTACAATTCACCTTGATGACAATTTCATGTTACCTCCTTTTACAACTTTGCTGATTTTTTTCCCAAGAATCCCAGGAAAAAAAATTTTCTCTGGTACTAGTCACCCTGTGGAATTTGCTGCTTTAAGAGAAATTTGGAAGCTGAAACAGCGTATTGGGGCAGTTAGAGAGGTATGGATAGTATCTTCAAAACAGAATGAGAGTTTTCACTTTATATTGCTGAAGCTTCTGAACAGGCCAAGGCATCTTTGAGTATTTACTCCACTTTTACCATGACACAGGTTTCTACATTTATTAACAATTCATCAGCTTTATTTCTGAATATCCTAATTAGCATGACTACCATCATTTTCCTTGTAAGACACTTTTGAAGCCCAAATAGACCTCATGACTAGAAAGTGTTTCCTGTTATTAAGCTTAGCTTTCTCAACTTCCTCTCACTACTCAATCCTAAGAACTATAATTAATCATTCTCTCCTTTACTAGCATGTACACTATTCTGCTGTTTGTAATGATGCATTTTCCCACAGTAGAGCGGTCAGTTTGCACATACTGCTCTCATAAATTTTTCCTAAGGTGATTACCCAACCCACGCTCATGCTTTAAGCTGTTCTCAGAGTTCTTTCCAGTTTCCCCAACAGCTTTAGGATAACACAGCAGTTTAAGATAATCTCAATACCCAATGCACCCAGAAAGCCATTACTGTTTCACGCAGTACCTTAAACCTTTTGAACACAGTCTGAAGTTGGGTTGACCTTTTCCAACCAAAGCGTCATTGGGGACATACATCTAATATATTCTCCATCAACACGCTTTCAGGCTCAGGTTTTTTTGGTATAAAATTGTTGGCATAAGACAGCAACAGAAACCCTGTTGAGAGTGAGATGAGATCTGCCCACCACCTTCCTCCTCTTAGGTTTTCCTTCAACTTTGTGTGTCACAAGTTGCATATCACCAAACAAAACAGGCATCTCCACTCTGGTGTTCATGCACCTACACACCCTTTTGGTAACAAACCTGTTCCATCACTCTTATTACCATTGCTCACAGCTCACTGATTCTATCAGGCCAGAATCCTAAACCTCTCATCTGCTGCATCATGGCAGGTCATGGCCTATTTCTAAGGCATCTATCATAGGTTACTGAGGAAAGCAAGCCTACAGCCAGTTCACTTAACTTCACTGATGCAGGGATCCATGCTTCCAGCAGGGAAATTTTAAGGCAGCCTGCAAATCAAAGAAGTTGAAATACACGGGTTTGGAAGATGCATCACATACTCCAGGCAGCAATTTTCTGCACAGGCCCATCTTAAAGCTTGTGGCCATTATCACCTAGGCTTAATATCTTATCCACTCAGCATTAAATAGTAGATAAACAATCTGAACCTGCAAGTGTGGAAGTTTGTATTCAAATGATTTGCTCTCAATGACAATAACAAATTGAAATTCTAAAAAAAAAAAAAAAAAAGTCAACTGAAACACAGGCTTTGTCAATTGTCAGTCCACCCATTAACAGAAGTATTGCATAATTCAACTCTGTCCTAACATTTTGACTTATAAAGACCAACAAGACATGGACAAAACTGAGTTTCTTCTAGCCACAGCAGACACCACTGTGTGGTCCCTAGAGAACCTCCATCCTCCCCTTCCCTCAAAGGTGGCTGCTATAGAAACACTTATCTACCATGACTCAAGCTCATGTGCTAACTGCCTCCCTCTGCACAGCTTCTCCCGTGCATGCTGATGTGTGGAGAGGGACACCCAACTGCCAAATGTATTTCAGATTTGTTTTGGAAGACATGTTAAGTTTTTCCATTTTACCAATGTTCCATACACTGAGAAGCCAGACATTAAAAGTGAGAGTTAACAGGAGATTTCAGGCTCCCACCCAAATGGGAACAGCTTCGCAAACAGCTTTGGAGACATACTTTTTTTCCCTTCATGTAGGTTGCTTAAGCTGCTAGAAAAAATTATTTCTTACTGCCAGGAAGTTAGGTTTGGTCATGAATCATTACACAGCTTAATAAATAAAACAACTAAAGGTATTAGATACAGTTGCTTGCTTCTCATTATTCAATTATTTACCTCTATTTTGGATTCTTCTGGAACATTGGCTAAGATAATGACAACATGTGACAACGAATTTCCAGGCTATGATGTGGTATAGAGCACACCTTAGTCCCGTTGTGGTTTTGGACTTTCAGTTTCATTGATCAACTTTGTGTGACCATGGAAAAGTAGGCAGGGGCGTCTAGGTTGCCTTTTCCCATCAGATTTGTTTTTCTGAGTATTCTATTTCTCCATTCTCTTATTCTCTCTAACCAGTGCCAATCTATTCAGTCTTTCTCAAGTGAAGAGCCCTTCATGCCTGAATCCTTCTTGCCTCTTCTCTGAGCCCTGTATTCTCCTGCTCCGTTCTTCCCTTAGTTTGGACATCAAAACAGAAGCAAATTATCTGAACATGTATTCCATAATACTAGCTGCTCTGCATAATCTTTGCAGCCATCAGCTGAACCTACTCCACTGGTCTTGCAGAGCTACAAGATAATATGCAGAAAGAGTAACAGTAAAATATTCCACAAAAAACAAACATGAAACCTCTCCACCCAATACCTACACAACAGAAATGCTGTGGGCAGCCCTTATGTCACCACTCAGGATGCACAACATTATACCACACATACACTTGACTAGCAAAAAAGGCATACCTTTTTTTATAACTAAGTATCCACCCCAGTGATTCAAGAAAGAGCACAGTATCAATTTCTAGAAGTATCATTGTCTTCTCAGTGTTCTCTGTCCTATTGTTTATGGATTAATCTTCACTGGCAATTTTGTACTTTCCATATATACTAATTTCTTCTGTTTAGCCTTCAGATAGTTAACATAACAATGCAGCCAACAAGAAATGGACCTGATGTAGAATCCTACACAGAAATGTACCATTAGGTTTGTCTCAGTCCCTCTTTGAACCATGACGTAGGCCTCAACTCTTCACCCAATGTGTGCATTACAGGTAAGTGGAGATAATGACCTCACCTTTCAATTCTGCCCCAAAATAAATAATTAGAAATGTGATCATATAATGGCTAGAGCAACATATCTGAAAAAAAGCTACAAAATACACTTCAAAGGACCCACCCTTTTGGAAAGAGGTAAACGCAAAAGCCTGATACCAACAACCTTGGTAATGTGACTTATATTA